TGATATATCTTTGGCCAGCTTTAAACATTTCTTCTATGAAGATAAATTAGCCATTCAAGTATTTCAGTTAATTGTTCTAGGTTCTGCCCTCTGGATCTACAAAGACCAAACCAGATGGCACTTCTCTGATAGTGCTCCCATATTGGAACCCTTGTGTCATATCTCCCAACAATCTTTTCATTTCTAGTTTTTTCCATGGTTCCCAGGGTGCTTGGAATACAGCTGTCCCCAGGAATTACACCTGTTCTTTTGAGCTCATGAGATTCAAAACTCAGCTCCATAGTTTCTTAAAATTTCTTCTGCTTTTGTCATTTGACTTCTTGGTATAAGATGCCTATATTCAAACCCAGTCTCTGTGCAGTTTCCACATCACGTTAGTGGTTCTAAGCAGTTTGTATTTAAGATGTGGATGGCATCTGTGTGGTGAGAAGAATCACACGTAGGGTAAATAGGCTTCTGAAACTTCCCTGTTACCCTCATCGGTCCCTTCTTTGCTTTGTCCTGACTTCCTCTGCTGAGTAAAAGCTAATTCTTTCAGTCATCTCAGAAATAAAGGTTCACTCCCTCTCAAACTTGAAAGGTTCAGCTTGCCAGGAAGGCAGATTATCTCAACAAAGTCTGTGTCCTCCTTCCCTGCAATAAGGAAAAGTTTGACACATTATAACAATATTAACAATAATATTAATATTAATAATATTAATAATATTGATAACTCCATATAAATGTTCAACGTTTTGTACCATTTGATTTAAATCTGACTTTAATCTCATGTGGTAGATAGTATCATTCCCTATGTACATGTAAAAATCCTGAGGTTTTAAGAGGTTGAGGCTCCCAGAGGTAGTTTTTCTAAGGAAAAATAGGTTATTACTGGTAAAACCAGCACTTACACTTGGTGCTCTTAATATATATACTAAGTATATCCTTTAGATTTCCATTACCCCTCATCATCCTGATAGTTATTTCATGGATAAAATCCTTTACTTTTTACAAAAAATTAATTTAAAATATGGCCTCCTAAATGCACATAGTCTTTTAAGCCTGAAGACAGGAAGTAACTAAAGATTGCTAATACTGGCTAACAAATGTGTTCAATTTACCTATAATGATAATATTTTAAGTGAAAAACAGAAGGAAGAGGAAAAGAAGAATTTGAATGCCTGTATAATCTCTGATTCATTCCTATTTCCTGTCTCCTGCCTTGTTCCATTCATTGTTATCTGTCTGGTTCCTGAAGTCATTTGAGTTTGCAATCTCTAAATTTCTTTTTTTTTAGAACATGGCACATTCTTTTTATCTACAGATGATTTTTCTAGGTGTAATTCAAAGCTTGTTGTAGAATGAATGCTAATTGCTGACTCTCTAATGCTACTATCTGGCATGAAGTAATTTAGCCAATGAATACATATAGGTAACTACCCAGGTTCCACATCTTATGCGGACTCTCCAGTTTGTCTTCTCATTTTCTTGTATTCAGACCCATATGCTATCAGCTCATGCATGTCATGATTAAGACTAAAGGGGTTTTTTTTTTTCTATTATCTGTATAGCTGACTGATGAGACCTATGATGCCTGTTCATTTTTTCAGGGATATCTGGCCACTCTTTTTATGTTCAGTTTGAAAGGAGCATAGAATTCTCCATAAATTACTAGTCAAAAAAAAATCATTCTGCAGGCTGGTTCTTTTATTTATTTATTTTTTTTGCTATTGTCACAAGTACAAGGAACCCTGTGGTGACACAGAATATCACTCAGATGTTCCTAATGCTTTTATGTATAAGTGATTGTGATGTAACTCTCTAGTTAACTACTCACTATCTAGTCCTTAGATGAACCTAGATGAGTTCTAGATTCTTCTAGTCAGCATAAAAATTCTATGACTACACCTGGTAGGTGATACACATTAGGTTATACACCTGAAACAAAGGTGAATTTAGTCCCTAACTGGACAGCCCATAGTCAAATAATTTTCTTGGGTAGTTTTGCAACACAAATTTTAATGGGATTCTGAAGCAACACTGGTGCGTTAAAGTTTCAAGGAGAAAATTAACACTTTAACAGATTTTGATTAAAGAGAAACAACAGAAAATCCAGCCAGTGACTTGGTTTGGCTGGGAATACCAGCATATTGATGCCTGCCCATATCAGAAAATGTTTTTTTAAGGGAAGAGGCGGGAGGAGAAAGATCTTCAAAACCTGACATGGTTTTAAGAAGCTCTGAGCATGGGAGAAAGCAAGTCCTGCAGAGAATCTCCAGCACTCTACATTCCAGTTTGGGATTTTATGCTGCAGCTCAGCCCAACTTCAATACCCATTTCTTTAAGATGGCAGGAGATGTTGACTTTCCTGCATTGGTATGGGAGATATGCATGTTATAGAAATGAATCCTGCCCACACCAAACCAAAGAGAATGGCAATTGGTCGCAAAAAAAAAAGTGTAATATATGGTGGCTTTGCCTACTACAGCAAAGTTTTATGAGGAATGACTGCAGAAATAAATGTTTGTGATATTTCCACATTATTCTGAGTGAAAATCAGATTCCTTTAAAATCAGTGACTTGAGTGTTTAAGTTGAATGCTTACTTTTATCACTACATGTGTTTTAAGCAATAAATAACTTTATTTGTATATATTTTAAAATCTACAATAGTTAAGTGTGTATTATGTATCAGGCATGGTATCACAGAATTGCTTCTATGCTATCAGCATAGATAAAATACAGTTCTCACAAAATAAATCAGAGCATTCATTTGCCTGATAGTAAAGGCCACTTGTAACCTGTACCAACACTGTCTTGTTTAGTTCCCTTACCAGATCTTTCTCACCTTTTACCATTGCCAATGTCTTTTCAAATGTCATTCATTCTTCAGAGCCTGATTCCACTTCTGCCTCTTCCTTGAAGTTTCCTTGACTCTTCAAAGCAGAATGCTTCCTTCCTCCTTTGTACAGGAAACCCTGTTATCTGCAATACTTGGGCACTTATTCAATATCTGGTGCCATCTTGAGTGGTGCTGGTATGTAGTGCTATGTGGCTTTTCATGTGAGCACATCCTGTTCCTCAAATAGATTTTGTGTTCTTTTTGTAGAACAAGTACTATAATTTTATGTTATGCAACTCACAGTGGAAATTCATCAAAACTTCTGGCTTTCCTCCTGCATCTAAGAAGTGGAGATTTCTTCTAGTGTGAACTCAAATGTATGTGGAAGAACGAAGGGGTGTGTGTGTGTGTGTGTGTGTGTGTGTATACCCGAGAATGAGAAATAGAGCTTAGTTTTGATAGCTTCGGTTGTCTGGACAAGAGGTGTTTTCTTGCATGTTGCTTTATATGCAGGACACAAAGCATGCAGTGGTGTCAATGTTGCACTTCTCTCTCCCAGCAAAGGTTTTTTTTTTTCTACCTTTTCCCTCTCCTTGTCTCTTTTGTTTACCAACCAATTATCCATTTTTTTTTACTGACTATATACTTCTCTAATGCATGCATTGTATTCTTGTTTCCTGGGGCAAAGTTCTTCCTGCACAGGTATAAAGTAGCTTCTTTGGGAGGGGTGCTATGCTATGTCTTTTTTATGACTAACATTCCCTTGAGCCTAAGCCAAGTGATAGACATGTACTTGTAATATCTTGAATACTGAGGCTCTTTTGAATTAAAATAACAGCAACCTAAATAAAAGTGGAATCTATCATGAAGAAATACTGCTTCCCAGGATGTAAAAATGAGAAGGCAACCACCCTCCAGGTGCCACATAGGACCTAAAACTCAAAGCCCACAGGCTGTCTGTCTCTCTGACCTTTACTTTACCCTATAGGTTTGTTTCTCTCTTGTGGCAGACTAGCTTTTGCTTTTTCTAGCTGTGCAATGATGTAAGGGACAGGGCAGGGATATCCTCTGAGTTTGAGTTTGAAATCCTTGAATCCAAGTGTCCACAAAAAAGATGACCTTGACCCAACCTCAAATACATGAAGTAGGACTTTAGTTGCTATCTTGCGCTAATCCCAGGATCAACAAAATGTGATCAGACATGGAATGATATTTCATACTATTTTGTTTTGGGGGTAATGGTTTAGATGGAGGGTGACAGGATGGGGACATTGTTTGAAGGAGCCATGCTACAGAAAAGAGAATATGTTTGCTGCACTGTACATGGGCACTAAAGAGAAGTGTTTACAAGCCCTTTCCCATATCTAATCTTGTGTGAGCTTCATGACAGTCAGGTAATAGAACTAAGACACCATTGTTATATAACCTATTCAGGAGGTCATTTACCTGTTTGTAATATGCAATGCTGACACCATTTCATATTACGAAAGCAGGCTTTATGTCCTGAATATGAAGGCAGCATATAAGAAAAAAACATGACTTATGTAAGATTCCCATTAAAATACTATATCCTCCCTCCCTGCTCAACAAAATCTATCATCCAAAATGTCCCTGAAATCCCACAACCTCTCAAAGTTGATGGGTGAGAAAGCAGCAGTATCTTCTGCTCTCCTATCAGTTTGGCTTCTCTAAAAAAAGTCGCTCCAAGAAGTATAGTTTCACGGCAGCAGGAATGAGGTAAAGGGGGGTGAGATAGAGAAAGAGGAAATGCAAGGGCATGAGTTACTGAGCCCATCACCCTTTGAAACAAGCTGATGGGCCTCATAGGATGGGTTCAGAGGGGCTGTTTGAAACTGTACATGCATGAGAGGCATGTGGGGGGAGTACAAATTTATCTATTGGCTTCCATCACCTATGAAAGTTCAGGCCCCAGGCATTAACTCACTAACATGTACAGCTTACATGCTTGAGGACAGAGAATGAACTCCTGGGCAGCACACAGGCCCTGGAGGAGGAGGCAAGCTCATATCAGGTCACACAGGATGAAGTGATATGAGAACTAGGCCAACCATAGAGGGGGTCTGGCTCATGGAGAAGGCTAGGGTCCACCATGACATGACCTATGCCACAAAAGTGGTGACAAACTTCCTCTTTTGGCCTATGAGACTGCAGATAGTGCCATGGCGTCTTCCCGAGGGTCATCAGTAACACAAATGGTCTGGAGTGGGGATGGTGACAACTACTCCCCGGTGAAGACTTACTTCTACACTTCCCCTTCCATCGCAGAACTGAGCAGTCCCTTTATGCCCACACAATCTTCAAATGAATCTCGTATGGATATGTAAACATGGAACACAATTACTCAGACTTTCTCCTCTCCTGGAAAAGATTTTGGGGGGGGGGTTACAATAATGTTGGCTCATTAAATAATTTATTGAGATCCTACTAAGTACCAGCCACTGTCTTTAAGTTCTGGGAAAAGAACATTGGATAAATTAGATAGACGTGCATTTTTAACGCTTTGAAGTCTTAACTTGTGTGTTTGTGAAAGAGAGATAGAGAAAGAGAGAGATGGGGAGAGAGAGAGAGAGAGAGAGAGAGAGAGAGAGAGAGAGAAAGACCAATAAAGCATCAAGTTATATATGGTCTATGACTTGCTAAGTGTTGTAGGTTAATTGGATGAAAAGGGAGGCTTCACTAAGAGAGTGACATTAAAGAAAGGGCAGATATGGATATTTAGGAGAAAGGAGTTCCAGAAACAGAGAAAGTACATGCAAAGCTCTAAGGCATGGTGGGTGTGTTCCAGGAAGGGCAAGGAGGCCAGCATGACAAAGAAGTAGAGAAGAGAGAGCAGATGAGATCAGAGAATTAATATCTTAGGACCTTGTAACGACTTTGACTTCTACTTGGAGACGGTAGAGAAGACGTAGGTCTTTATGTACTGGAGTGATCTGACTTACATTTCAAAGGATCACTTTGGCTGAGAACAGATTATAGGTCAAGGGTAGAACTGGAGTTAGTATGTTACTGGGGTGACTCAGGAGAGAAGTGCTGGTTGTTTGCATTGGATGGTAGCAGAAGAGGGAGTGGGATCTGGTGAAATTATGGTTTAAAAATGACACAGGAGGTGTGGGAGAAAGAAAGAAGGGAGGGATGATGCCACATTTATGTCCTGAGCCGATACTGCAGGTGGGAGAGATTTTAGAGGAATGGTTAACAGTTTGGCTAAACTTGTGATGGCTTTTACACATCCAGGTGTTGTTAACTTGACAGTGGATTTAGGTGTGTGAGGTGCGGGGACAAGATATAAACGCGAGAGCAGTTAGTGCGGTTTTGAAAGCCACACAGATGGCATTGGATGTCTTGAGACTGGATTAGATTACCAAGATCATGAGTGCAGACAAAAATGTGAAGAGGACAAAATATTGTTCTCTAGGCCTCTCCTGCTATTACAGGTTAGGAAGACAAACAGTAACCAGAAGGGAGACTGAGCAGAAGTGGCCATGAGGGAGGAGGAAACGAAAAGAGTATAGTTTCTGGAAGCTAGGACATTTTTTTTTTTTTGATGCTTAGGATGGGACCCAGGGCCTCATGCATAACAGGCAAGTACTGTGCTATTGAGGTCCACCCAGTCCCAATAATGTTTTAAAAGGCAGGAACTGAACAACTGGTTTGAATGCTACTGACAGGAAAGGTGTGAGAGCTGCTATGAACTGAGTGTGTGCTCCCCAGATTCATACATTGGAAGTCCAACCCTCAGAATGATGGTATTTGGAGATGGGACCTTTGGGAGGTAAGTAGTTTTTGAGAGTACAGCCCTCATGAATGAAATTAGCACCTTTTAAGAAGATACTAGAGAGCTTGCCTCCTCTCACTGTGCTTTCTTCCATGTGAACATACAGGAAGTCAGCCATCTACAAACCAGGAAGAGGGTCTTTGCCAGACACAGATTCTGCCAGCACCTTGGGTTTGGACTTCCCAGCTTCTAAAAGTGTGAGAAACAATTTTCTATTGTTTAAGTCACTTAGTCTAAGCAGCCTGAACTAAGACAAGAGCTGACCTTGGTGTTTTGCAGCATGGAGATCACTGTTGACCTTGAGCAGTTTCAGGAAGCAAATGCCCAGATGAAAGTTCAAGAAAGAGCAGGAGAAAAATTCGAGGCAATAGCAGAAGCCATTCTTTAGAGTTTTATTTTAAAGGGAAGGAATGAAAACAAGGTGGCAACTAGAGGGCAGGAAAAGTAAACAATAAACTGGTTGCATGTGTGTGTGTGTGTGTGTGTGTGTGTATTTGTGTGTGGGTGCTTGTATGCACACTGGAAAAGTCCAGTAGAATTTACTGGCAGAACTAGGCAGAGAATGAACGTAAGAAAAATGAACAAAACATCCTCTGGTGCCAGGACTACCCAATCTAAACGTTTTGTTTGTCAAAGGGGAAATGCATGGCAGGAGGAAAGTGCCTAGGTTAGGCCTCACAGGTCTGATGCCTGAAGGGTAGCAGATGCAAAACGCTGAAATACGGAGCCTATCAAGCAGCAGCACAGTGGAGCTTCTCATCATCTGCCAAGTCAAAATGTGGTCCCGCAGCATTTCAGAGGTTAGTTGAGATGGGCGGTTTTACACAATCCTGCAGCTGCTATCATCACCATCACCACCACCACCACTACCACCTAACAATTAATAATGAAATAGCAATTAAAGGCCCAATTTCTTGTACCACCATATAAATCAAAATAAAGCGCCTAGTTCCCTGGGCCAGTGCCGGTTCCATGAGACGCATCAGTGTAATGTAGTGTAGTGTAGACATCAGAAGGTCAAAAGGAAGACAGGCTTGGGGCAGAGGCAGAGGTCTCTTGCCAAACCATCCCGCTCCAGTTCCTGATTTTCACCCTTCTCATCAGCTTTTGGAGTGGATGATCCTTTCCCTCCTACTTCTTCCTCCTTTGCCTTTGCGCCCTCTACTTCTCTTTTTGCTGTCCTCTCTCAGTGCAGGGCTTGTTCTGAGGCTTAGCCTCCGCTCTTAACAGTGTCCTCACTGCCACCCGGCGCACGGAAAGCGGACAAAAGCCCTGAAACTCCAGTGGGGCAGGACCTGACGTTCTGAGCATGTGCGAGCCAACTTGGGGGCTGGGGCAGCTGTGATGTGGGGGCGGCTCCAGGTGTCTGTCTTAGGCGCAAAGCTAGAGCGCATCCAGCGCCGGGGCTGACCGCACTGAGGGAGCGACCGCCCTGCGCGCGGGGCGCAGCGGCTGCGCCTGGCCCTCCCGGCGTGGGCGAGCTGGCCGCGTGTGCCTAGCTGCCTGACGCGAGGACGAGCCAATCAGGGCGAGCGGCCCGGGCCGCCATGTGACAGGCAAGGCGGCCCCTTTTCCAGCGCGGCCAGAGGGAGGAGAGAAGCGGGGCTCGCCGCGAGCCTTCGAGAGCAGCGGTCGCGGAGGAGGCGACAGCGGCAGGCAGCAGCGGCAGCGACACAGGCTCGGGGACAGCCGGGAGCACATCCCCGGGCGTCCTGCGCTGCGGAGAGCTTGGAGGGCCGCGGGAGCCGCCACACAGGAGTGGACAAAGCAAGATGGCAGGGATCTTAGCCTGGTTCTGGAACGAGAGGTTTTGGCTCCCGCACAATGTCACCTGGGCAGACCTGAAGAACACCGAGGAAGCCACCTTCCCGCAGGCTGAGGACCTGTATCTCGCTTTCCCCCTGGCCTTCTGCATCTTCATGGTGCGGCTTATCTTCGAGAGGTAAGAAGGGCTGGAGCACCTCCTCTCCTCCCTCGGCACGCGCGCGCGCGCACACACACACACACACACACACACACACGCGCGCGCGCGCGCACTCATACTCGCAAGCACACACTCGCGCACACTCGCGTGCTCAGTGCGCACACCCCTGCGCCCCCGCGCTCACGCTCACACGACCCAACCTTTGTGTTCGGGGAGGGGTCTCTAACCCCTTCCTTTCTGGGACGCAGAGACGGTCTGGCTTGCCAACGGATTTCCTCACTGGTGCCGGGAAGGGGCTGCAGGGCGTTAGCGTCTTTCCCACTTCTACCTCCCGCACTCCTTGGTGGCCCGACTGGGCTGTCCGTTCTTTGCTAGTACAGCGCTCGAACAAAGGTGAGCGGCCGCTGGCCTCTGCATCGCAGCACTCCGCGGGGCTCAGCCCTCTCCATCTGCGCGACATTCCCTGATGCCGGCCTGGGCTTCCCCGCCCAGGCTTGCTGCCACCCACCTGACAGCCAGGAACGTCCGGCGTGCGGCCGGGAGCGAGGAGGAACCGCACACACTTGCAGTCTTTACACTCCAGCACCGGGCTGTGTTTCAGAAGACTTCGCTAGGGATCCTTGGCTTCTGATTGCTATTTAGCCTCCATCTATGACACTATTAGGCTCTCAGCCCTTGGGACGTAGGTGACAGTAACACTCCAGATCATGAGCGGTTTCTTTAAAAGAGGCTAGAACAGAACGGGTGTACATCCTACAAAATGATCACAAGAAATTAATAGCTAGGCCTTATGACTTTAATAAACTGCCTTTTGGTAGCAGCACACACTGTAAAAATTTAAAGAGTTGTCATATAATTGTTGGCATGATTCCTTGATTTGGTTGGGTATCGTTCACGCTAAACTTGGGTTACTCTCATTGAATCGGTGTTAAACACTAAACTAGATTTTGCTTGCTCTGCGTTCTCCGGGTGCTATTGAAACAAAACCGAGACAGCAGCATACACTTATTAACTGAAAACATCGCCTTCCTCCTTTCTTCTCCCACCCCCATTCATCAATGAAGGCTGAATGTCTTAGATCACAAATGATCATTTCTACCACCTCTTCTCCCCCGCCCCCAACCCACCTTTTGTCTGTTCGGTTTTGCTGTTACCTTGCTTGCTGTTTCTGTTTGCCTAAAACACTGTTGAGGATGAACGAACTATCTTTTGTGTCTTTTGTTTCCGGAAACAAAAACCATCTTTTAAAGAAGGTATATTCTTCAATGGGCAATATTGTAGCTTGAGAACTAAGTCAGTGGTTGTCATGCTTAAAATTGACATGCTCAAAGGGACAGACTTAAAGACCTTCTACTTATAAATGATTGGAATCCAGCACAGATATGTCAGTGATCCTATCCAGTGCTGAGAGGTACTGTGAAAAAGTGGGTGTGTTTGCCAGTTTAGAGCTGCCAGTAGAGCAAATGTTTACTTACAGACAGGAGGAACGCATGTCTAACCTTGCAGTCTTCTGCAAAGACAGGCAGACTCAGGAAAATAGGTTGCTTTGGGTTGGCACATGGTAGGGGCTCCACACACATTGCTGAATGACATCTGATCAATTGTCTGGATGCACTTTTAGATAGCTAATGTATTTGAAGGAAATCTTCTGTCCTATGTTTTGGAGAACAAATGCCTGGCGGTTGATGAACTGTATTCAGAATGCTGCATTTTCCTGACATTCTTCATGCTGATTCCAGGCTGTTCATTAGATTGGGGGGAAAATTTTTTAGGAAAGAATGGAGCTAGCTTTATACTTAGGCTCACTGTCTCTTAAAAAAAAAAAAAAAGAACACTAAAGTAATAGCTGAAGGCTGAAAGTTCAATTTTCTCCTTTTGTTTTTTTCTTCTTTAGCATAATCCCATTGCTTGACTTAACAGTTAATAACAAAGGAGCCATTTGACTTTCAACCAAATGTCCTCATATTGACATGTAGAGAGTTAGTCAGTTTTATTCAGGCCATTGATATAAGTAGAAGCTATTTAATGGCCTGTATGGAAAGTGAAAGTTTATGATTAACATTCAGGTAATAATCCAATATGGCACGTATGCCATAGGACACTGACTGACTTTTGGGTAGTATCTACTTTGTTTCTTCCTGTCACTCAGACTCTCAATTCTCTGAAAATCTGAGTATAGTTGTATCTAGAGTTACAAATTCTGCATGTTTCTCCTCTTCTCAAACCCAAATGACATTTTCTGGGATCCAACCTGTGGCCCTGTTCTCAGTATTATCCACCAAGAGCCTGAATCAGCCCATATTGTTATCACAGACACAGCGCATTTTAAGTACCCTTTTAACACGTTGTGTATAAATATTTTTCTTTTGCAGTATTCTATAATATTGCAATCAATGAATCCCTTTGTAAAGCGAGATGCTTTTGTAGTAGGAATAACTCCCTCAAGATTCTGTTTGTTTTGTGCTCTGATTGTCGTTTATTTAAAAGTTGAGAACATATTGAGGAAATACTTGGTTGCCCCAAATCTTTATTTTTTCATTAAATGAGGTCAACAGTGCCCTTGTTGAGGCTAAAATTGTGAATCTGAACGCCTCTTCAGGGTTGTGTATTTCTCTCTATAAATGAAACAGTAATGAGTTGACTGAATTGCGCTTTGCGAATTCAACAGCCTTATCATTTTGTTTTCACTCCCACTGTTGGGGTGTTGACAGAGAAGACATCCTGGCCAGAATATGCCATTTTACAGCAGCATGTGGACAGGAATGGGGAGCCCATGATGACTGCTTAAAAGTGGTACAGCCCTGGCTCATGCCTGTAATTCTAGCTACTTGGGAGGCTGAGATAGGGAGGATCACAGTTCAAGGTCAGCTCAAGCAGGTAATTCAAAGACCCCAACTCCAAAATAACCAGAGCAAAACAGACTGGAGCTGTGGCTCAAGTGGTAGAGCACCTGCTTTGTAAGTGCAAAGTCCTGAGTTCAAAACCCATCCCTCCTTTCCAAATGGAGCAGCCTAAGGCCAATGACTGTTTTTTTTTTCTTTTTTTTTGGTGGTACTAGGGTTCCAACTCAGGGCCTCACACTTGCTAGGCAGGTGCTCTACCAGTTGAGCCTGGCTAGTGACTTTTGACTGTGACTAAATAGCCCAGATCTGGGTGGTTTTTAGCATAGCCTTTATACTCTTTTCAGTCTGGGTAGGGACCAAAGGAACACTGTAGCTATTGCTTGATTGACAGAGTAAAACTTTTTAATTTCTTTTAAAACACAAAACCTGATACCATCTTTTAGAATAAAAGATTGTAGTGTATCCATTACGTTATGTTGTTGACTTGATGACAGAACAAAGCATTATTTAATAATGTAGCATCTATTTGATTAATTTTCTTGATTTAATGTTCATTTAGTAGCTCTGTAAGCCACCCTTGGGAATTATAATAAATGTTTCTTCAACTTTACTTTTTCAAAAATGTATTTTGCTATGGTATTCATAAATGTGGAAGTGAAGTTCTACTGAATTCCTGTTTGCAAATAAAAAAAACTTGCATTAAATTATAAAAGGTAATATTAATGCATTTTTTCTTTGTAGATTTAAGAGGCGAGAGATGCAGAAATTATTGGTTGGGAATCAGAACCGATTGGGACAGCGTCCTCATTCGTTTCTGCTTACTTCTCAGTCATACAGTGAAGCAAATAGCCACTGCAATCTAGAAAGGTGGCTGTCCCTCCCAGTTCCCTGAGTCCTGTGGTCCTCTGTGTTTGAAGCTTGCTAATCATCATCTCATGAGACTCGGAAGCAGACTAACCATCTGTTAGCAGAAATAAGTCCTCTCAGAATAGTGAGATTTTTTTTCTATAGAAATATTCCAGTCAATAATTTTGTTTTTAGTATATTTCAATTGTATTTTGAGACAAAAGAATCATTTTGGCTGTTATCATTTGCGCTCCAAAAAGCTGCAATGTCTCTGAATAACCAAGTAAGAAGATTCTTCAGAGTAAATAATTCTTTCTTTTCTTCAGACTTCTTTTTGGTGGATTTCAGAGTTGTCCTGACACCTGACTGGGTAAGAAATGAGTAGCTCATTCCTCACAGGTGGCTGTCACAATGTCATCAGTCTGGCCTCCTGCATTTAACCAGGGAATGATCTGTTGTTCCCAAACTTCAAGGGATGAGAATGTCTTAGTTGTGTCCAAGGAAGTGTTGGCCCAGTGGGCTTTTCCTATGATTTCCCTTGTATGTTTGCCTTATAAGTAGCTTGGATAAGACCCCTGGGGACATTGAAAGGAAGGGGAAGGGGAAAGGAAAGGAGGGAGAGTGGGGAGGGGATGTGTTGGGGGAGAGGGGTGAGTGACTGCCAGGAAAAAATAATTTACCTTGTAATGAAGAGATCTCACATATTTTTCAAAAGTGTTTGAGAACAACCTGCATATAAACGGGTTTTATCATACTGTCAGAGCTGTAAACGTACCATATTTAGTTTAATGGTGATGGCGTGATTTAGATTAAAACTGTGAGAGCGTTGTAAGAGACAGGAGTTAAATTCACACGCAAATAGGTTGCCATCTTTAGTTTCTTACCCAGCTAGGAAAAACGGATCACAATGGATGTTTTGTTGGAAAACAACCTAAAGTGAAAGAATGGTATTCTTTGCAAAACTTTATGTTATTTTAGTTTATTTATTTTGATAGTAGACTGGGGTTTTGAACTCAGGGACTCTCATTTTCTAGGCAAGGCATTCAACCCTGTGAGCCAAGTCCTCAGCCCTTCTTGCAGAATTTTAGTATGAATTTTTCACCCAGCAAAATAAAAGGTTTGTATTTACAAGGTGTAATAATGTAGCCATTTGTAATAGGTTGATATGTGGGTGAAAGGTGTAACTTTATTTTTAATGAACAGTGCCTTGGAATGGTGTGGGATGAAGGTGAGCTAATTACACTGTCCCAAGTGACTTAATTTACACCCCAAGTTCACTTAGGACTTTTCCACTGAGGACAATTGATCTCCATGGACAGGGCTCCAGAG